TTAAATGGGGTAAGTTGGTGCATGTTGATCTTGTGGGAACTCTTTATATTCAGCTTTCAGCACTTCCAAAGAACACCCACCACAAATATTAATATCACTGTCTTTCATTTTAGTCCTACAATGATTACGTGAGAGAATTCCACAACATGGGACCACCACCACCGTGGCAAGGAATGGTTTGTGTCTTGTTCAACTCCATTTTTTTCTACAAAATATGGCTTTTCTGTTCCCCACTACAGGAGCCTAGTATATCTGAACTGTGCCCAACTCTTTGCTTTTCCTAAAATTTATCTTTTCTGTAATTGCGTAAAATTTTAAGGAAGAAAAATTACTTATCGAGTATTATCTTGTATTTTTATTTTGCTCTCAGCAATAGTCCCTCATTCTAGTAAGTAGTACAGCAGCAAGAATCTGTGTTGGCTTGAACCTAGAAGGAACAGAAGGCTCTGAGGAAATAGCAGATCCTTTCTATAGCCCGCACAGGAGGGTGTTACCAAATTCTGTATTCAGCTAAAGATTCACAGTAATTGGCTTTCTTTCAGACAGCAAATGCATCAAAGAGGTGGACTTGCTGCAGTCTCACAGATTGGGTTGGTGTGCTCAAGTGTTATGCAGTGGCTTGCTTTTGGCTATGTCAGTGAAGCATGAAGCAAAGCAGCAGGCTGTACTGAATAGTGTAATCCAAATAAGCCATGTCATGTGGCAGCCTCCACTGAAATGCACTTTTTTCCCAGTCAAATAAACGCGTATGTGTGCACGTTACCTATGTTGAATTTAAGTACAAGCAAAATACCAGTTACAGTCATTTGTGGTTTCCTCCTTCTGTGAGGAGGAATAGTCACTAATTAGTTATTTTGGTTATATTTTGTTATTCTGGCTCTGAGTTGTGTCATGATTTCAGGTAACTATAACAAGCTTTCTGGCTCTTGTTGTGTATATTGTGAATGAGCAACAGGCTGTGCCAGGTGTAGAGATGCCATTACTGCCCCTCATTTTTCTCAGCTGTAACACAGCTCTCATTTGCCATAATTGAAGGAGATCAGCAAATTTTTCAGACTGGGAGGAAAATGTTTTTTTCAAACCCAGGTAAACCTAGAGATGCTCCCATAATTTCTCCCTGCCCATCCCCATTCTGCATGATGGCCAAGTAGTCATCTTAAAATCCATAACTTCTACCTACTTCATTTATGAGCAGCGATGCAAGCAAAAATGCTTTAGTAATATCTGAAAGAAAGACCTTACTGATTAAAAAGATGGAAGAGAAGCCAAGAGATGATTTGATTAAAAAATAATAATAATAACTAAAAGAATCTGCTAGTCTTTTGTTAAATAGTTTGTCTTGCAGAGTAAGCTTGTTCACTTAAAATAGGATATACCAATAAGGAATGGCACCAGAAAGCCTCATTTCTGTGAGAATTTATGGGTTTGGTCAAAAAATCATATTCCATATGCATAGATCATTAATAAGAATTTGCAAAATGAAGTTGCAAAATTTCACCTATAGCATCACGTTGAGGCAGGTATTTGGGTCTGGGGAGGATGTTGGCCAAACTTGTAAAAAAAAAAAAAAAAAAAAAAGCAATGATATGGTCTGTCATTGATTTTTGACAGTAAAGCATAAGAAATGTTCTGCTATACAGTTAGGAGGCTGTGATCAGATTTAGATGCCTGTGTTAAGTTGTTTCCACCTGAATGAAAGTAACCTCTGCTCTTAATTCCCAGCACTAAGCCTTGGGTACATACCTTTGTTTTAGAACATTCAACACATTTTATGTAACTCTCTTGTAGCCACCGTATCCAGGCATGGAGCAGCCACCACACCACCCTTATTATCAGCACCATGCACCTCCACCTCAAGCTCACCCGCCATACTCAGGACATCATCCTGTACCACACGAAGCAAGATACAGAGACAAACGAGTAGTAAGTGTCCACAGAGTCGGGGGAGACGAGCCTGCAGGCTGGAGTAGGAATAGGAGGAATTTGGAGTACAGGTGTAGCCTGGGACTTGTTGACTTTGAAAATACAGATTTTTAAAGTGCAGTTTAGTTTTTCTTGGAAAGGTCAGTCATGTAGATTGGCTAGGTATTTCCAGCATCTTTGAAAAGCCTCTCTCCCCCAGGTGATACTGTGCAGAATTACCAGAATGTGGTCTTGAAATGAATTGTTTGCTTCAAGTGGCATCTGGTTGTCAAGCTGTGAAGCTTTTTTCCTGCTGAAGCCCAGTTTGAATAAGGATGTGGCCTTATGTCACTTCTTGCAAATTACTTTCTCTTCAGTAGCAGAAAAGTTTGAATCTTATAACTTTTATGGGCACATCAATAAAAAGATCAAACTGATGAACTACTTCTGTTAGCTGACCTTGACAACTGCTTTGCTTTCTCTTGCGTTTGAACCTGGCATTTGAACATATTTTACAATTTACATATTTTCTACTTTGTGCACAGTAGAATCATGGATCTATTGTGTTTCCCTGAGGATGAGAAACTTCATGCATGCTGGACATATACCTATATGTCTATAAATATATATACTTAGACTGGGCTTTCCAAAGAGTTACAGCTAATCCTGTGGATAAGGGCAGGGAGGGGATTTTCATCTGGAAAAGAAAAGAAACAACTGTCCTTTCATCACAGCACGACTATGACATGAGAGTGGACGACTTTCTCCGCCGCACACAAGCAGTTGTCAGCGGTCGGAGAAGCAGGCCTCGGGAGAGGGACCGAGAGCGGGAACGGGACCGTCCTAGAGATAACAGAAGAGACAGAGAACGGGACAGAGGCCGCGATCGGGAAAGGGAGAGAGAGAGGATTTGTGACCGGGACAGAGACAGAGGTGAAAGAGGTAGATACCGAAGATAATCTATCTGGAACCAGTGCTCACTTGAAACAAAAAAGCTTGTATTTTTTTGTGTGTTTACAAGTAGTATATTTTATTTCCAGCTGTCTACTTAAAGTTCGTTGTGTAGAAGGATTTATAATGACCCTCTTTATTCCAAGCATGCAGTGAACTATGAACTGGAAAAACTCAGATCAGCCAAACATTGAATACGCAAAGCTGACACAACTTGACATTTCTATCGGAGCAGAATGGGAAACAGATAAGAATGTAGATATTGATTAATTCTCAATAAGTGTTCATTTACTTAGTGACTTCATTCTAGGTTTTTGAATACTGATGGAAAACTGCCATATTTTTTTTGCTTTGATGTTTCCTTCCTGTAGTTTCACATGGTTCAGTGGGAGAATGCTGCTATCAAGTATGCAAATATTGAAGTATGATTTTTGACTGTATGGCAGTGTTGTAGCAGCCTATTTTTTTTCTTCTGGTTTTTAACTCTGTCTGTAAAGTCGTGTTTTTTCAGTCTTCAGTAATGAAAGCAATATTAAGAAGACACTATTGATACCTAATTTTTAACCTTTTTTAAAAAATCTTCCCATGTTCAGTAACATTTGGTCAACTCTCTTGTCTAGTCTCCTTCCAAAATGTACACATTGCTTGGAATGTTCACAACCTGCGCGTGTGGAACCAGAAAATATTGCTGTATTCTACATTGCTACCATTTTTTATATAAAAATAAATTGGTAATTATTGAAATGATTAAAACTCCAGATCAGGTTTCTTGGTCTTCTAAGCTTGCCAGTTTTGATGAGCTCTGGCAGTTCTAGGAAGGTATTTGTGTTCAAAAATAGTTTAAAGGTGCTTGCAATGAGTGAAATTAATCCAGAAGCACGAATTTAGTAAAAGGACTGCTGCAATAAAAAATAACTGCTTTTCTGTTTCCACAATGAAGTAGTCAACTTACGTAGCTCTAGCTGATCAGAGTTATTAAGGCCTTGCATGTTTTAACTTAATAAAATGATCCTCAAGGCTGTCTTCAGCCATAATCATACCTGTCTACCAAGGGTGCATTAGTCCTGTAAGGTCCAGACTCTCCTCATGTCATCTTTATAGCGATTACTGCATCACTTGTTTGTCTTAAATAGGAACTATTTGAAGCTAAATGCCAATGGTGTAAAACTGTGAAGCAAGAAAAGTAAAACTTGAAGTGTACGCTGTTCAGTTTCTGCAGCATTTTCCTAGTTCTCAAAACCTCTATGCATTAACTACGTGGACTTTTTTGTAACCTTTCTTCAGTACTTTCTGCAGAATCTTCTATGTAACAAAGCCAAATTGCAGCACACGCTTGGGAGTCCTCCAACTCCACAGCACTAAATTCTGCAGCTCTGTTTTAATAAACTGCAATATAGGATTCAGTGTTTCCATGATTGCCACACTGTGCTGTCTTCTTAGAACTGACAGTATTTTGGGCTTTGCAGATTTTAGTCTACACAGATATAGCAAACATGAGCAAAAACTCTGACTTCCATCGTGGAAACATGTTCAGCTTCTTGTAGTATTAAAAAAAAAGTTTAACTCCCTCAAAACAATGTTTTGCAGTGAGGATTAGATTAACATGTCAAATTCAGTATGCTTTAACTCTTTAAAATTCAGGTTAGGTAAGCTAAATTGCTCTCACTAAGTCATTCAAAAAGTACTTCTTCAAAGTACAGAGCCCTGTATTTCCCACGTCCTTCGTTAGTCCTACTGTCAGCACAAAGTTAGGAGTCTTGCTGGCCTTACTGGAAAAGACCTGACATCCTCAGGCAATCTTCTGCTGGCAAAAGCTGGGTGATGAGGGCTGTTATTGATGAAGTACAGTGGAGCTGAACCTAGGGACTTTACTGAGCAGTTGTAGTCAGTTTTGTGATATGGGGCCTGAATGTCATGCTGTTCTGCATTCTCTTCACTGTTACATATATCTGCGCATCTCATCGTGATCATAGGAGGAGTTTACCAGAATATGCTGGGTTCTAAGTTACTACAAGAAACATTAATAAAAGCGGTATTGTTCTAACCACTCTACTTTGGGAAACAATTCACTTGCACTTCTGTGAGGGTTTTTTTATGAAGAGGTTTTAGCAGAGCTGAAGCTGTTAACAAAAAAGCCAATGAAAAAGTTAATATAATGTAGGGAATTTTATTATATGAAGATAACATATTCTCGGTCTATTTCATTTTCAAACAAATCTGCAGCATCCAGAACGCAACAAATGTCAGTTAAAATTGGGGCAAATTCTTAAGTACACTGGTACAACAGTGGAATAACCTCACCTTGAACAGGAGACCTGAAGTATCATCAGTTTAATAGCCTTCCATCAGTAGGGACTTCTTAAATAATTTCAGGAGTGCAGCATTTAAGACTATTCTATCTGAGCCGAGGGCAGCATTATTTTCCCACCAGTACTTCAGGCAAGGCAGGTGTTCCTATATGTTCCTGCACCGTTCCTACGTGCGACTTTACTTCTAAGTTCCACCTCTGAGGGTTTTCCTGGATTTATCAGTGAGTGTGGCTTGCTTAGAGGATCTTGGGGGTTAAGATGACAGGTGGAAGTTATTTTCACGCTCCTGTACTGTTGCAGAACGATAGCCTGTGCAGCAGGACTCTAAGCATGTTGGATGGAAAAACAAGATGGTTCTTTGAGGAAAGAAAGCCGTTTCTGTGCTGTTTTTAGGGCTTGTATATGTTCCTGTCTCCCCTCAGTCACTGAGTAGTCAGTGCATTTGTAAAAAGTGATGATAAAGCCTTCACCAGTTTCCTGCAGCTCTTAATTTTTTATGACCTTAGCTAGCCATTCAGATGGGTCTTTTTTTCAGGATCTTGCGACCTTGGCTTCACTGTCCAATCTGGAAAGAGCTTTTCTGACAGGAGAGACATTTTGGTTTCGAATTACCAAATACAGATATTACAGGGAAGGTCTGAGATAGGCTAAGAAAACTTAGTTTAAGTTAAGAGACCACAAGAGGTCAGGAGGGCTGAATTTATCAAGAGTACCAAATTGAATGGACAAGTTAGAGCGGCAATTACCGTTTTAAGAACCCTGTGTGATAACTAACAGCATCCCAAAGGATTAAGCATTTATAATTCGACTTTACTGAGGCCAGAAGGAATTTACTCGCTAAGCAAGCAACTCTGCCCTGTAACTGTTTTTTATCATGACCCAGTTCAGTGAGGTGCTTTGTGATACGCCCAGCATAAAGCGTATCCTAATAATTCTATTTACCGAGGAATATGAATAAATGCCTTGCTGAGTCAGCAGCATGTAAGGAAGAAAGAGGGTTGATGGGAACAGCACAACTATTCTTTCTTTCTTTTTGCAATTCTACCACGTTTCCTACAGCAAAATAGGCAGCACTTGACAAGAATGAAGACAGCAATGGCTGCACAGGTGAACAAGAATGCCAGAACATCCAGGCAGTGGTACTGGTACCAGGTGAGATGGTGAGCGGCAGGTCTCAAGTGCTTTGCTCCTTTGTGACGCATGACAAATTCAATCCAGAAGACAGCTCTGTCCAGAGGCGTAATTGGCTGGTCGTGGTGTATCTTGGATAATCTTAAAGCATTTTCCTTGTAGCTGGAAAGAAAAAAGAAGAAACCAAGGAGATTTGTCACTGTTTCCTGAAACATCCCATTCCACAGCTGGCCCTCCTCTTGAGAAAGACAGAAAGCACTGCTTTCACTTTCATCAATGTGATTTAATAATATGTGAAACCAGCCCAGTTTACTCCTGTCTGCGCAGAAGTCGACATGTAAACTATAATAGAAAAAGCCAATCTTTTGAATAGAAAAAGTATTCTGGTTACTCTGTTGAAAAAGCAACACGGAACCATTAGCGCATCTGTTCAGATATTACATAGTTAGATTAACTAAGGGTATTGGTGACTTGGGTAAGAGAAAGAACTGTGATGTCTCCAAACTGAGTACCTGTAACAACTGGCATTTTCACACAAAGCCTCTGATGAACTTAACACTGAACAGCAGAGAGTCATCTCAGGAGCTGTTCTGAGCTTTCCAAGAGCTATCTTTCTCAAAGGGATCTTAAAATGTCATACAAAGAAAAAAGAATTAGTAAGCTCCCCTGGGAGATGCAAATTCTCAGTAAAGAGACGGTTTTCATCTGCAGCCCAAGTGCCAGCTATTCAGTATTTTGGATTCCCACAAGAGAGCAGAATTTCTCACGTCAGCAGCCCAAGGTTTTAATAACCTCATCCTATAGTAAGAAAAAACTCACGAGGAATTGTTAATGACTGTATTCACTGCATCAACTAGGTCCTCTGTCTTCAGCGTGCCAAAATCCAGCTCAACTGCAGCTCCCTTTGCCCTCATGTGCGCGATGTTGTCATGCTGGTCAGCAAACATGGGAATCCCAACCAACGGGATCCCGTGGTAGATAGCTTCATAGATCCCATTGGTGCCACCGTGAGTAATGAAGGCTTTCGTCAAGGGATGGCCTGGAACAGGGAAGGAGAGATGCGTGTAGCAGCAGCAGACCGTGACCTCTGGGATATCAGAGCTGCCAGCTACTTGGGCACGTGCTGCTAGAGAAGGGAATGACCCTGTCCTCTGTATCGGCATCAACACCTGCACGCTTAGCTTCCACGCGTTCATATTGAATGCAGTACAAGAACCTCCACATTCCTCCACACAACCCGAGTTACTTTACCCCTTCTGCTGTCATGCAGCTTTAGGTTCTAGTTTTTACATGGCCTCAGGTTCATAGCAGACCCCTTCTGCAGCCTTTCTTTTGAAGAACGAGCCCAGGAAATGAACTGCAGAGGTGAAATGCAGCTCCAGAGTACAAAACTACTTTCTTATTGTCTTCCTCCTGCCTACAGGTGGTTCTTAGCCCTTCCAAACAAATGCCAGTGGGCTCTCTAGGACAGACATTTGCTTAAGAGATCCATCTGTATGGCTAAGCTCAAATTGCTGCCTTCTTGAGCTGCTGCTTCCTATTCCCTTTACAGTCTGGCTGCATCTTCCATAGTTCTTGTATGGCCGCTCACCTTAAAGTCAAAAGCAGGCTAGGAAATTAAGGCTCCAAGAGCAAACCTCTGCTGCTTGAGGTACAAAATCAACTATAGCTGCAAGTGTTTTTTTTTTCTATTTTTTTTTTTTCGCACCCAAATAAGCCATTTTAGCAGAAGGACAAATGAAACAGTTTTTCCAAGGGTGTAATGCATCCCAGAGAGAATCAGTCTCACCAAGCAGGTCATTTTGGGGTATCCAGTCATAAGTCCTGGTGTTGGAGCCCAGAGCTTCTGGTTTCTTTCCTTTGTACCTCCAAAGGACCTTGAACAAAGGAATACTAAGATAAAGACAGTGCATGTGGCATGCCCTTTTGTATTATTACACATGAAGTAGGACCTTATCTTAAACCCGCATCCCTTTCCCCCGTGATTCAAATAGCTTTGGCTCCAATTTATATCTTCAGTTAGTTATTATGGGCTTTCCACACAGAGGGATTTTTATATTTTTGCCTATGAACACACCTCCGTGCCATTTGGTTTGGGGGCAGGGAGGGGAGAGAAACACCTGAACATGATGTGAGGCAGCTCAGCCATCTGCCTCTGCAGAGCCTAGCTTCTTGGCCATGGCATATCCAGCAGACATGCAGGTAGAAATCAAGCGTAAAAGGCTTGCTGAAGGGAATAAAAGTGACAAAAAAAAAAAAAAAAACAAGGCAGATTGCTTTATACTTGAAAGTAAATTCACCTTTTGTGGAAGCTGGCTGAGCGCTCTGGCAATCACATTACTTTTTTCATCAGTCAGGTTGTAGACCATTGATCCGAGAGAAAACACCACAACGCCATGTTCTCCTGAGCTCTGAACAAATTCTTCCATTTCCTAGGAGGCAGAAAGCATGATAATAGTGATTTCGCGATGCAGATTACACAGATTATGTGAACAGAGAGCATAATTTAGTTTATTGAGGTGATATCTGATCGTGGCATATGAGTACCTCTGTTGACAGAAGGCTGTGACAAAGATACACCTGGCCATGTGCAAAATAGGCAACTTCTGCCAAAGAAGGATTAGGACAAACATTGAGACAGGTAACAGAAGCTTTGTCTCTGAAAGCAAGTCAAGCAGTTTCAGGACACATTTCTTTCAGAACATGACCAGCAGGAATGGATCCAGGTACTGGAGTTAGAAGGCCATACCCTGTGACACCCTCCCTAGCATAGTTTGGCATGGTTCTCAATTTTGCTGGAACAGGTCCTATGCATTTTACAGCTCTGCAGCAAGAGACATTGCTGAAAACTGTGAGGTTGTTGCAGCATCACAGTCAGAGATTTGTCAAGACATTGCAGTCACTTTGTTAGCCAGTTCTGTATTTCTTCCAGTACAGCATGTATTGCTAACCAGACTTTACATGTCAGAACAATAGATCTTCCTGTTCGTTCTTTTAGATGGTGTCATATGAAATGGAGCATCCGAAAGGGAATGGCTATCCCTCTCCCTCAACTCAACCCTTGTAGCAAGGGTTGAGTTAAGAAGAGTTACATTTTTTTTTTTTTAATAGACAACTTACACTGAAAAATACCCTGCCTCCTGTAAGGTTCCTGCATGGGTGATACTCTAGACCAGAGCATGTCATGCTGTCATCATCATCAGTTTGAAATTCCGCTTGAATATTGCCAGTCACAGTAGAGCATAGGCTGTGGATGCAGAATATTTTACTCCCTTTACAAGGTCTTAAACTAAGCACTAATAGAGAAGCGTTCAGCACTATTCTCTTTCTGCAAGTCTTGGCTCCATTTTGTCTAACAAATTAGTCCAGTCACAGTGTTGTGCTGCATCAGGTATTTGAGTGTTTTTATGGGCTGGAGGTCTGCATCTTAGAATTAAATCTTACACTCTGAGATAGTACCTATTTCTCTTAAAACAAACACTTGTATTTGCTCCTGCTGACCTCAGCTATCATTTCTTCAGACAGCAAGCTGTAATCCCAACCTTCAGTGTGTACAAGTCTGGGCAGATTGCTCAGTAGCTCTGTGCTCCCCACCAGCAGCAGAGCATCTTATATGAATGAGTTTTCTCATGACGTGGCCTGAATGGCTGTTCAGGGAGGGAAACTGCTTGTGCGGATAACCAACCAGTGGCAGAACTAAGTCTGAATACCTTTGGCAACGGCTTTGCAGGCTGGCAATGAAGTCCTCCAACAAACTCAAAGTTGGGCAGGAAAGGGCGTGGAAATTCAAAATCCCAGTACGTTCTGATTAACCAGATCTCTGCTTTCCCCATCGTCTCACACAGGGTCGTGGGCCTTCCTATGGACAAGGTACAAGGCATTTAGCACAATTACAGGTATAATCTTGTTTGCAGTAGATTACAAAACAGGAGCTTTACCTTTGTCGTTTGGCACTCCCAGTCAGTGTAGTCTGTCAAACTGAGCATGAAATAAAAACTTGGACAAATCCAGACCTTGCCCCATCCCTGCTCAGCCTTGGCAGGTTGCTGCAACCAAGGCAATAGTATCTTTACAACCACTTTGAACCTTCAGAATAAATTTAGAGTAGTGCATGAGTAGTTGGGAAGCATTTAGTTTCTGTGCATTTCTTGTATTTATGGAAGATTTTATTAGCCATGCTTGCAATAAAAACCCACTCTGGGGAAGAGAACAATCACACAGAACTAAACATCCAAACAGAAGTAAATGAACCTCTAAGTGATGATCACGAATCAGGGAAGAAGAGGGTTTTTATCTGAGTTCTGTTGCATTTTTCAAATGGTGACTCAGACTGTGGCTACTCAGACTACAGTGCAAAACTGGTACAGCCTTGGGGACTGGGTAAGCTGCTGCTGAAAAATAATTGGAAAAATTTGCCAAAACTAAAGGTTCTCTGAATGCAATTTTATGCAAAATCCAATGTCCCTAGAAACCCACCTGTAGGAAAAAAAATAATCAATGGGAATAAGTCTTTTATAGCTTCCCATTTGGAAAAATACATATTCTTACACGCGTATTGCAAGTTGTCTTCAGTATTTTCCCCACAAATTGGAACTGAGTTGTAAGAGGGTTAAAAGTGTTAATAAGTGATTTTCCAAAGTGAGCTCAATGCAAACAGGATCTTAGCAAAACAAGCAGAAAGTGGGGCACCTTATACTACTTGATCAGCATTACAAATAAAGTTTTGTTTGTTTGTTTGTTTTGCTTCCAAAGTGGAGGGTAATGGCTCAGTTATAAAATTACTGGAGTGAAAAGTAAAACTAGAGTGATGCAGAGGTGTTGCTCTTTAAGTTGTATTCTGAAGTTGTTAAGTCTTACGTGGTAGAAAAGTTCAATCCAGGGAGAAGGGGACTAGGTTGGAAGGCAGAGAGGTGTTCTTGGGCAACACAGAAGAGATCAGAGGTCAGCAGAGTAGTGCCCTTGTGCTTGCTGTTCAGTTGTTATCTGTATGAACACAAGATATTCTGTACGAGGTTCAAAGTCCGTTGAACCAGGAGGTCTCTTTAACAGACTTTGAATCAAGCATGAGCTGTACTAGGCTGGAACAAAAGTTTCAGGTGTTTTGTTTGAGGAAACTATATTTCAAACTCTGGATGATAGAAGAAAGAGAAAGGTGACAATACCTAACATTTATTTTAGGGAAGGGTGAACTCACACTTAGCATCCCATTTCCAAGCAGGGCTGCCAGACACTTCCAGATGATGCATGCAATGCAACATGAATGAAGGGTGAATTGTGCTTCTCAGTTGTCCAAAGACAGTCAGTGTGCCTGTCCTCAAAATTAAGAAACAACAATTGTCCTCTAAATTCCTCGACAGGCACTAAAATGGGCATGCAGCTCACCGAAAGAGCTGATGAGGAGCATCATCGTTGACAAAAATTGTGACTACATGCTAGAAAGATCCCTAAGGGAAACTGCAGCAGAACTACACTGGTATCTGTTAGGCTGTATCAGCCCTAAAACGTAAAGCACAGTCTCTGTGCAACCTAAACAGAATTGTCGTCTCTGCTGGGCTCTGTTAAGAAATCAGGGTAATTGATTTTTTTAAATTTTGCATGAAAATATTTTGCTTAAAATGTAGAAAAGAACACAAGGAATCAGAGATCTGTCCTACAGCAAATGAATGCAGTTGTGAGTGAGGATGGAAGTACAGAACCAGAATGGGCTGGTGGCTGTGACAGAGCAGGGACTAGGGTCTTCTTTTGCAGTGATCCAGGGCCTCCTTCAGAGACCTTCCCCTTTCTCCTGTCAGAGCTGGAAGGAGCCCAGCATGATCCCCTCTAACGTGGGACTACATCTTCAAGGAGATCATCAGCATAACTGTGAGACATCCGACAAAGTAATGTGATTCTATAGCACCAAGCTCTCAAAGCATTCAAAAGGCACAACCTATGCAAGAGAGACTGCTCAGCGGCTGCCTTACCTAAGACATTACTGTAGTACCCATCCCATTCATCTCGCCAAAACTTCAAGAAAAATAAATCCGTGTAAAGGTAAAAGAGGAAGTTCCGCAGTCTCTCCACAAAGGACATCTGGTCCGTCATCCCCACTGTGCTAGCAGGCACATAAGAAGGTGGGGACGGGAGCCCACCACACAGCCTCTCTGCCACGTTCCCGTCAGAGAAGCGGAAGGTATAGACAAAAGGGATTTCCAGTAGTTGTGCTACAAGCTCCCCCCCTACAGCCAGAGGGTCAGCGATCAGAACATCAAACTTGGCCTGCTGCAGCTTTGCCATCAGCTGAGGGTTCGTCACCAAAGTGTCACAGGTCTGCTTTGACATGTCAGAAAAGGAGCCTATGAGCTCTGTCATCCTCCACATGACCTCCCAGGGAAACAGATTAGGAAGTTCATTCATCCAGAGGTTGAGGAAGTCCTCCATGACAGCATTCAGGAACTCCTGGGAATAGGGCACTTGCAGGACCTCAAAAGTGAAAGGGGAAGAGGTGTCTTCATAGTTGATGAGCAGATTGCTTGATGGCACCAGCACAGTCACCTCATGACCCCGGAGGACGAGCTCTTCCAGCAGCACTTTGATGTTGATCCAGTGACTTGCGTCGGTGGGCCAGACCACCACCTTCCCACAAAAGCCAGTGCTCCAGCAGCACGTGCAGGCCCAGAGCAGCCAGAGGAACCTTTGTCCCATCATCTCCGCAGCCTGTGCACAACTCCAGTCTGAGCAGGCTGGAAACAGCTCACAGATCAGAGTGCAAACAACTTCAGAGACAGCCAATGAAAGTAAGATCTGCTTGGCGCTAGCCTTGGCGAGAGGGCATGTCGGAACACCAAACACTCATGGGAGGGCCGGGCAAGCAAAAAATCCCGTTCTGGAGTCTCCTCCAGAGCTGCAGCCAAACTCTGGAAGTGAAGGCGATTCCCGTTTTTGCTCCCCACAGAGTGCAGTCTGCAGCACGTGAGGACCAGAAATCCTTGCCCTGCTGCCGGATCTTCCAAGTGAAGCTTTGCATTTCTATGCCCAGCAGGAGTTTGGGCTAGAGAGAGCACATGAGCAGCCCAAGGGACCTTTTTGTCAACTTAGGGCTTAACCCAGTCTTTTCTCTTCACTACAGTCAGATTTGCTTCTTTGCCCTGCAGGAACCAACCTACCTGGAAGGCCAGTTACAGTTTTAATCTCCTGCTTTATTAGGTGCAGACACAACATCCTGCAGTGATTCAGAACTAGCCCACACAGAGTGCTCTCATCCTGTCTTCTCTGTTACCAGATGTTGTGGCCACACTGCTGAAAGGGCACGGTCCTGGCAGAGGTCATCCCAGCATCAAGATCATCCCAGGGAAGAAACAGAAGTAGATGAAGAGCTCGGGTTTTGCTTACCACCTCCTGTCCCCTCTCTGCCCAGGGGCAGTTCAACACAAGATGCCTGACTTCCCCCTCATGTGTTCTGGGAGGAGAACAGGCAGCTGCTCTTTCCTGAGCAGAAGGAGAACGAGGCTCAGCCTGTGTCTAAGCAGGTCCTGAGCACACCTCCAGGAGCTCAGCACCACCACGTGGGACCCTCCCTGTTCTGAGGATGGAGCAGGAGGCTTTCATCATGTCCCAACCTCACCCCTTGAGAAAGACTTCAGATAGGAAAAGCCTTTAGAGAGAAAAGCAGCTAAAGTCATTGTAAGGACACGGAAAAAGCTTTTCCAAGGAGGTGGCAGTGGTGCACACGTGCACTGCACAAGCTGCAGACATTGCCACATTGGGGTGCGTGGCCCTTTCTTTCACGCCTCCTTCACCACTAGATACTGCCCAGACCAAAGCAGGTTGCAGTCAGAGGGAAAGCACAGGCTTTGTATATGTAACCTTAAATGCTAAAGCACACGTTTTATGACTAGTAGAAAGCCCAGCAAATTGCACAATTCCACAAGCAGCCTGAAGCTGACATAGCACTGTCTCAAAGCACACACTGCTGCCAGCATAAGGCTTTCTACCCTCTGCCAAACATGATAAGTATCACACATAAATATGCAGCTAACTACTGCAGTAGTAGGACTTGCTGCCAACTTGGCTTTCTCAACAAAGCCATGTGCTACTACAGATCTGGAAAATAAATACAAACCTGTAAGTCCTCACATTGGAATAAGAATAGCCCTGTAATTCCTCTCCCTTCACCATACGCACACACAAATTGTCCTATTTCCTTCTAATCATAACAATAACTTCTTAAAACTCCAAAATTAATTCTGCAATTGATATTAAATAAACAAGCAAACAAGCACAACTATCTTCTACTACTTCTTTTAGACACCTTCAGAAGAGCCAAGGACCTTTTCTCCTTGTTGCTGGGGGCCTTTCATCACTGCAAACTGAGGCGTGGTGCACTTTTCCTAACCAGCAGGGCCAGCTGCTCTCCGAGACCTTTTACAGTCCCGGGGAGGATGCTGTCTCATACTGAGGAGAGCTAAGGATGTGAGAATGGTATCAGGGAAAAAAACGTAATGTTAGATAGCCTTCTACAGCTTTGTAAGTTCATCAGTTGAATTTAGTAGGCAAGCAATGCTATTTTGCTCTTCTTTGTGTCTGTTGCATTTGATGTCTGACTGACTGACCCCTTTCTGTTTCAAGTGGTGTTAGCACTGGTTTGCCCATCTCAAAAGTACCTGTATTGTTTGAGCTGCAGCAGCATAGCTAGAAGCAGGTAAGGTTTGTACTTGCCTGGGTTGTTAGCTGTGATATGGAAGATTTTGGAGGAAGGAAAGGAATTCAGGACTGCCTTGGCCCTGGCTGGTACCTTGTACCAAGGCTCTGAGTATGTAGCCCTATGTGTATAGCAGGTGTAATCTCTATAAGTAAGAGCAGCCTTACCTAAAACTTCACTGTAGTATTGATCCCAGTTTCTCCAGAAAAGGTGGTGATACGTCAAATCCTGTAGAAAATAGGAGATGATGTTGTATAGCCTCTCCGTGAAGGACATCTTGTCTGTTAGGCGGCTTAGGATGGCTGGCACATAGGAAGGAGGTGCTGGGAGCCCTCCGCAGAGTCTCTCCACCGTGTTGCCTAAGGAGAACCGGATGGTGTACACGAAAGGGATACCCAGCATCTCTGCAAAGAGCTCCCCGCTGGGCACCAGTGGATCTGCAACGAGAACGTCGAAGGCAGATGCCTTCAGCCTTTCCATCAGCATCTTGTCCCTCAGGACTCCATCGCAGATGGTTTTGGTCACAGCCTCCAGCTTGCTCAGCAGTTGAATTACCCGGTAAATTCTTTTCCAGAGAGGTAACTCTCTCTCCTCGTAAAACCAAAAATAGAAAGATTCATCCAGCGTGGCAGCCATCTCCTTTTTGCTGATCGGCACCTCCACCACCTCGAAGCGGAAGGGCGAGTGGTCTGTGGCGTTGAGGATGAGGAAGCACGAAGGCAGCAGCACAGTCACCTCGTGGCCCCGGGCCACCAGCTCCTTGAGGACGTACTCCATGTTGAGCCAGTGGCTGTTGTCCACCGGCCAGACCAGCACCTTGCCACCAGACACTGAGCCCAGCACAGCCAGCAGCCACAGCACGGCCACCTCCTTGCCAGCCATGGTCTGCCTTGCTTCTCAGTGCCCCCGTGGCTTTCCTTCACTGGGAGCAGCAGGGCAAGCCAAGCCAAGCTGGGCTGGGCCTGCATGACACTGCCTTGCACTGCAGGCAAGAGGCCAAGGTAGCTGGTGCAAAATCCCGTCCTGGATAACACGTGTTCTCCTGGGGAAAAGGTGACTGGGACCATCTGGCACCATCTGGTGGTCAGCGGCTGGCTGAAACTGGGAGATGTTTCCTCTGGAGCTGCGCAGAGAGCTGCGAGCCTGGGGGACTCCACCCTGTGCGGGTCACATCCTGCCCAGCGTGCCTGCCGAACTGCAGTCTGCTGGTTTGGTTACAAGAAGTGACTTGAATGAAGAGGCCAGAGCTGGGAGGTGATGGCATGGGTTGCCCTGCCTGCCACTAGGTGCCAATAATGCACCGTAAGTGGAACCAGAAACTATGCTAAAGCGCTTCAGCTATGGCCACGCTCCTGGTGTGCAGGTAAGGAATGATGTGAGCCCTCTTCGCTGTGCCAGGACTGAGTCGCTGGGATCCTGCCTAGCTCTGTTGCTCAGTTTTCCTAATCATATTGTCGTGTGAGGCTTTTGCTGTGGCTCCTGTGCTGTCCAGAGTGTCATTTCCAGCATGAAAGCAAAGGTGGTGGTAGTGGTCAGGCCATGAGAAGCCAAGCTGGGGCCCCTACGCTACGGCCTGTGTGCTGTGCACATGACAAGAGCTTGGTGTCCTTGCCAAGTCCTGCAGTGCAGGAGACTGCATCCCGTGAGACTTGGAAGTGCCTTGTTTCATGGGGTAGGTGTGAGCTCAGTAGAAGAGTCATGATGACTGCGTGAAATTAACACTTATCTAAATAGTTTTTTTTATGTATTTGCTCAAAGCAGCCCGGAACAAAAGCCTGGGGAGGAAGACTTGTTACGTTCACTGTTTGCTTGTGGGTGGAGCGAGTTTGCACAAAACAGTCTTTACTTAGAGAGGGTTGGTTTTAATTACCTGTGATGTAAACAAAGTCTCTATTACAAAGCCACAGTGCACCTCGGTGTTGCTACTAAGGGTCAAGGCTGGCGCATAACTTGCCAGTCATCCCCCTGTGATGATCTGCGTTAGGAAAGCAGCTCTGGTGCTTTCTGTGCAAGCAGTCATTGAGGGGAAGATGTGCAAGCTGAGCTCTCAGCAAGGTGAGCTCAGCTTGTACATGCACAGTCCATGGTGTGAAAGCTGTTTCAGCCTCTGCATTAGGACCAAGTACAGCAAATCCTGCAGCTGGGATGCCCGCTGATCCCTGTCTCCATACAGAGGCGTGCCTGCACAGCACCCTGTCTGGGGTGGGTGCAATTGATGGAGTCATACCCGGGGTGGGTAGATTGGTGACTAATGGCTTAAGACTGTATGTGTTGCCCTGCTAGCAGGATCCCTAGGGAAATGTGCCTCCTCCTTTGTAAATGCATTAATGCATTTATTCTTTTGGTTTCTGCAATCCCTCTGACCTACAGTTCCAGATTGACGTATTGGCTGCCTGTAAAAGGTCCCAGTTTTGCCTGGCTTGGGCTGCCTGGCTCCTTCACTGGCAGCTTGCTCCTTTTCCCACAGAAGGACATTTTTATTTATTTTTTTTTCTGGCCATGCTGGCTGACACCCTCCAGACCTTGCCTTTGCCTCGTGCTCTGCAGCTCATAACATGGGAGGTTGTGCAACGAATGAGAAGCGAGGTAGCAAAGGCTTACCTAGGATCTTGCTGTAGTAGACGTCCCACTCTCCCCAGTAGCTCTGGAAAACGTAGTCTTGCAAGTGGTAAGACACGATATTTTTTATTCTCTCGCTGAAGGACATGCGGTCGGTGAGCTCGGACAGGGCTGCAGGCGTGTAGGACGGCGGGGCTGGGATCTTGCCACAGTGCCTCTCCACGGTGGAAGCCGGGGAGAAGCGCAGCGAGTACACGAAGGGGACAGACAGCTTGAGAGCCACAAGGTCCCCGCAGAGGGTCACCGGGTCGGAGAGCAGCAGGTCGTAGCCAGAGCCCCGCAGGTGGGCCATCAGCTCCTGGTTGGTTAGCACCGCATCGCACATCTGCCTGTTGAGCTGGTGCCAGCTTTTGGACAGTTTTCCCAGCTCCTTATAAAACTGCCAGAAGGTCAGGGCTGTCGGCCTGTTGTTCAGCCACAGTGCCACGAGCCCCTCGATCAGGTTCTCGATGGTGTCTTTCTGGAAGGGCACGTTAAAGATCTCAAACCTCTCCGCGGCCTCAGCCTTGGGCTGAATGAAGAGGGAGGCGTTGGATACCAGGATGGTGACGCTGTGCCCGCGGCGGATGAGCTCCCGTATGACCGCCTGCACGTTTAGCCAGTGGCTGCCTTCTGTTGGCCAGACCAGCACGTTCCCACAGCAGACAGGCCCTACAAGAGCCACCTGGAAAACAAGCAGCTGGAGGCACTTCGTGGAGCTGCTGGCTTTTGCGGCCATGGCAGGATGGAGGGCTGGATATCCTGTGAGGTCTGCCTTGCAGCTGGGAGCACTCCACCTCAGCGCCGTGGCACTTTGCTAGCACCCTTCGCAAAGGCAAGAGTCCCCTGCTGTGCGAGTGGGGCCTTTCGGGCCCGTGTGTGCTCTGTGGGCTGAAAAGACAGGAAAGGATTCTTGGTAATTCACTTCTCCCTTCCTGCCTCCCACCTTGCCAGCTTCCCCCCGTGGGCACTCCTTTTCCTAGGTAGGGGTGGCAGCAATCCCAGCTGCTGTCAAGAGGTCCATGCTACCCTCAGGCCAGTCCATTTGCGTAAGAATCTCATCCTTTATTTCTAGTACCTTTGTAGTTCCTCCCTGAGGAGCAAAATCCTTACCATGGAAAGGAAAGCAAATAACAAGGGCTCTCCTGCAGCTGTATTGGTGCCGTATCAGTCAGTAAATGCTGGAAGATGGACTAGTTCCTGCTAGAGAGTAAGTGGCATCACTGCCAACATTGGAGAAATACTGGTTTATACATTCTCCAGCAAAGGTTTGCTGGAGAATGTATAGCCACTTCTCACTTGAGAAGATCTGTTTTCAGTTGCAACAGCCATGGTGTCATCTTTCTACTTTTTATGGTACAAATTCACCTGTACCTAAAGATAATTATTACTTTTTTTTTTCTTCTTTACTTTTTTTTTTTTTTCTTCCAGAATAAGCATGGAGCTTTGCCAAAACAACAGGCAGCAGTGCTGCAGGAACTGCTTGCCCGAATGTTTGGCCAGACCTGTGATGGGACTGGCAGGGACAAGCGATGTTGCAGACATCATCAACCACCTCAACCCTTCTACAGCCACGTCCTCCTTAAGTAATACAAGTTATGGCAGCTCTAGTGCGGGGAGGTTGTTGCTGCTGTCTGGGGCACATCAGCACCAACGTGGTCATGTTGTAGGCTTGGTTCATGTCTCTAACTATGCCTCTGTGGTTCTTCTTGGTGATACCCACATAATCTGGGCTGGCTCTCCCTTGGAAATGTAGGCACTATGTCCTGAAAGGAGCTCGTAACCACCAGGAATCAAAACGAGAACTAAACCCAGGCAGAAAATGGTTTGCTCAATCCAATATGATTTGGGCAGAGTGAATAACACGCAGCAAAAATCTTACCTAGCAGAGACTTCTGTGGTAGGAGAGCATCTTTCTCTGGATCATGCGGTGTAATTTGGTGTGCCGGTCCGCTTCTGTGAGTTGTTGCTCACCTGCCCTGTGCCTCAGCAGCTCTGGTAAGGCTTGGCATCAGGCAGAAGGAGCTTAAATAAGTTCCACCTGAACAGGGATTTTCAATAGGAGGAAGTAATACAATATGGGATGATCACAAGGGGGCAAGTCTTCTGGGATTATTCATTTCTTTGTTATGCCCCAGTAATATAATAGCCAGGATGGTCTTCCCCATGCTAGGGAATATCGTGATGTTGCTACAGAGCCAGATTCTCAGAAGGATTTGTGTCCTGTAGCTAAGAGATACGATGTCTGATGGCTAAAAACATCTTTTGCTTCCTTAAAGGTCCTAGCTGGCACAACAAAATTAGTTGTTAAATAATAGACTTGTTTACAAACTGCCCATGGGAACAAAGAGCGTCCTGTGCTTTGTCTGCAAAGCATTTCAATAGTTGTATGTTACCCTTGCTGGTAAATGCTGCGTGTGTGGCTGTTGGTTCTGCAAATCAAGGCAAGCATTTACTGACTTGAAACTACAGGAATCTGAAGATACAGCTCCATGTTTTTTTAATTTTGTCCATAATATTCAGCCTCACTTTCTAACCCACCAGTTTGGAGCAATTATACCAGCATGTCATTATGATATGCTCTCCTTTCTTCATGTAAGCTCTTTAAGCACTGGAAGGCCCACTATAAAGTCTCTTCCAGACTGAACAACCCAACTCCCTCAGCCTGTCTTTGTAGGAGAGGTGCTCCAGCCCTTTGACCATCCTTGTGGCCCTCCTCTGGACCTGTTCTAATACTTCCGTGCTGGGGGCCCAGCGCTGAACACAGGCTTCAGGTGGGGTCTCACAAGAGCAGAGCAGAGGGGGAGAATTCCCTCCGTAGCCCTGCTGGCCACACTTCTTCTGATTCAGCCCAGGGCTAGGTTGGCTTTCTGGGCTGCAAGCACACATTGCTGGCTTGTATTCAGTTTTTCATCAACCAATGCCCTCAAGTCCTTCTCCTCAGTGTTGCTCTCCATCCCCTTAACCCCCCCCAGCCTGGACTGATGTTTGGGGTTGCAAAGTCAGCTGAAGTCAGTCGAATTTTGCTCCTGAATTTCATAAGCTTCTGTTTCTAACCCCCAAGTAACCAACTCCTCTGTAGCAATTAAGGGCTATTGCTAGTGGAACTGGAGGGTTAAATCATACTTTTAAAGGCAGGATTTAAAAGGGCAGCTTTTAAAGCTGATGCTCACATTACTCTTAATGCAGAAAAGATAAACACTGTGAGGATTAGAGGATGAAATCCAGAAAACAAAAGTGGGCTGAAGAAAGTGGATGGTGTCATGTGTCTGCATTTCGCACATCTAGCGTTACCAACAGAACTGGTGCCGCCTCCAGGTCTTTCATAGCTGTAGGTTACTCAAGGATAATGGTGTAAAAGTTAGGGAATCCAGCCTAGTGCTTTCCATACACAGGTACGCAGGCATCTTCCACATTTTCCTGAATGTGGGTTTCAACTGGGCTTGGCAGCCCTGTTGTTTCCAGGAAGCCCTGATGGCCACCAGCACCTCGAAACTTCAGTGCTGGAGCATAACAGAGAGGATTTTGCCCTGCCAAGCACCAAAGGACAGCAGTTTTCCTTTCCCTTATTTCAAGAGAGCAGCTTCAGGACTGAAGGGGGGACTTGAAAGTCCTGAGTTGTAAAAGACTAGCATTTGGGGTAGGGGCAATGTCTGGGTGGGGAAGGTTGAGGTGTCTAATTTGTAGGTTGGCCCATCCTCAAGTGCAGGCAGAAGCGTGTGGGCTAAGAAATTTGTGGAGGCACATGCTCAGGCTCAGTAGAACAACTACCCCCTTGTAAGCCCCAAGTGTCACAGGGAAACTCCAGCAAAAGGGAATGTGCTGGCATCCGTGCCATAACCAGACTTCTCAGCCAGCTGGTGTCTTTAGCTCAGCCCTCTACTCTGCTGCGAGAGGACAAAAATGTTGTCGTGCATACAGTATTTCACTTTTTCTCAGTTTAATTACAGATCTTAATCTCTGCACCAGTCTTTGGATGCTACAGGTCCACGTTTGCGTGTAAATGTGTAGATGCCGGGGTGGCTCATGCCATGGCTGTTTCCACTCTGCAAGGGAGAAAGAAAAAAGAATGAGAAAGGATCCAGGACAAGCCTTGTGCACATTTTCAATGAGCTTGCTAAGTCTCACGAGGCACTATCAGCCCTCCCACAGGACAGCCAAACACTGTGGGGACCCCAAATCTGCAAACGCAGGTGATGTAGGCGGGACAGGAGCCATCTGGTGGCTCACCAGAGAAGAATGAGCAGTCGTACTCACCCTCCTGCCTTCTCGAGTGTGCTCACTCCCAGTCCTTCACCAGGGCTTTCCCTGGGCAAGGTGAGCTCAAAGGTGACTTATTGTAGTGGCTGAAGTTTGGACCCATCAGGGAGTTGGCCTGGCCCACAGAGGAGCTGGGCAAAGACCAGGCTGTCCTGGGTCCTGCTAAATGGCTGGGCAGCAGCTCTGTCATTGAGCCAGGCAGGAATTCATTCATGTGTCATAACACGTGCAATTACATTAAATAAAAAAAAAAAACAATTAATGTCTGTTTACAGCTCCACAGGGAAATGAAACCAAACTTGTGATTCCTGTTAGGTTTTCACCAAATCCCCCGCTCGTACCTAACCTTGATGCTGTACCACATCTCCCTGCAGGCTGGCTGTTCTGAAAAAGAACTGCAGATGCGGAGGAAAGCCATCCTCGGGCAGGGGGAATTAAAACAGGACTCGTGTTTTCTGCTTACGTGGGTGCGGCGTGCTCACAGGGCTAGGCCAGCTCCACGTCCCGCCGGAGCGCTGTTTGGTTGCGGGGCAGCGGCAGGTGCTGGCACGAGGTCTGCACCTGGGCCTCGGTGCACAAGCGGTACGCACGCCACTTGTTCCCCGGGGGTATTTTCACATATGATGTCTGTGCCGCGGCTTCAATGTAAACGGGCCTCTTCCTTGCTGGCGTGGCCTGCGACGACGGCTCCTTTTGCGTTTCGGAGGGTGGGGAGAGCAGGGATTGCTGCCCATCTGCTTGTACGGCGGGCTCGGGGTCCAGGGTTTGTGTTCCCTTCGTCTCCTGCATTGAAGACACGGGGTGACCTTGGTCATACAAACGGCCAGCAGCGAGGTTTTCACCATCACTTTGGCAGACTGCTTCGGCAGCTCTTGGCCAGGCTCCAGGAAAACCTCTTGCTGCTCTCCAGGCCGTACAGCGCCTGCAGCTTGACACGGGCAAGCAGCGTGAAGAGAGGCACCGTGTTCATACAGAACGATGCAAAGTCCCGGTTTTACGAGGGTTTTTATGAAGGTTTTTACAAGGGTGGTTATGGGAAAGGTTTGTTCCCCCCGTGGGGGCGTGTTGGCCTGTGCTCTGCAGCACACGGGGCTTTGCAGCCCACCTCTGCCTGAAACTCTCCTTGGCTGCTGTCCTATTCCACTGCTGCACTTTGAGACCAGCACAAAAGATAAAAATTAAAAAAATAAAAAAAATCGCATTGATAGTGGTGAACAAAAACAGTTTTTGAAGTCTTTTGCACCCTTTGCATTTTGCAGGAGCCGCTGGCTGCGTGTGAAGAGTGTCATTAGAGGGTCATCCAGCAGACCACAGCTGCGTCAGGAGCAAAACCATGCCTATGGGCTGGCAGGGAAACGCACGAGCCAAAGGAAGCAAGAGTGTGTGTGTGGGGGGGGATGTTGGAAAGCCCAGCTTTGTATCAAAGTAGGTGTGCAAGAGGTTCGGGGAGGGAGGAAAATGCCTGGAACAAATAAAAACCAAGTCATTCATGTGCGTGGAGGAGCAGTCTTTGGTGCCGTGGGGGTGCAGGGTGGAAGCAGCAGGAGCTGGAATAAGCGGAAATTCCTGCAGGCGGATGTTGGGGTGAGGAGGGGCTGGAAAAAGAATTGCCAGAGGCAATCTGTTGTCTGAATAGATGCCTTCAGCCCAAAAATACACGGCCGGGGGTAGATGGCATTAGGGAAGTCCGTGGAGCCACGAAAGGATGGGGGGAGACGAATGTGGACAAATGGCTGGTGGTGTCTCAGTGCGAGAAACAAGGGACAGAAGGAAAATAAAAGGAAAATAACAAAATCTGCAACAAAACCCGCATGCTGTGGGGAAAAGCAACTCCCCAGAGGAGGTACGAGGTGCCATGGGATGTGGTGGAGGTCACCAGAGCTCAAGGGGGGATGATGCAGGTCTGGAGAGGACACAAGCACGGAGTGACCAGGCACGGAGAAGCCACGTCTGGCTGGGGAGCCCCTTCCCATGCGCCAGGGGATGGGGCCACGGGTGCAGGTATCTCCACACCCTCCCCTGTGGTTACCTGGCTCACTTCGTCCATCTTCTCTTTCAAACCCTCTGGCTCTTCGTTGATTGTAATCAAACTGCAAGGCAAGAGGGGACAGGGAAGGCAAGAGGAATTGGACTCGATTGTTTTTATGGGTCCCTTCCAACTCAGGATAATCTGTGATTCTGTGACAGGGGGGCTCAGGGCCTGCTGCCTCCTCGCTGGACGAAGCAACACAGCCCAGGGGCACCCGCAAGCAGCATTGGGGAAGACAGAAGCTTTCAGCACCTGAGGGAGAAGGAGGAACCTTTTGCAATCATTTTGCTATAGCTTATAGCAGCATTTCTTCCAAGGGGGGAGCGCGGCTCTGTAAACACCGCAACACCCACCTCCTTCTGCTGGATTTGTGGTGGACAGCTGCTAATCTCAAGGAATTTGCTGAAAAATGGAGCTAAAAGCAGTGGTATGCGGGGCTGTAACCCAGTTTTGCAGCCCATGTCCCCAGCCAGCTGCCAGCCCCATCCCTGGAGCACAGCAGAGTGATTTCCCATCCAAAGGTCATTTTTTGACCTCTCAGACTATTCTGCTTCTATCTCAGGAATGGCACCTTCAGGGACACTCCCTGCCTGCATGCAGCACATATTTCCTCCAGGTCACCCCTTCGTGGCAGCACTGCCTCGTGCCTGCGAGCCCTGTTATTTTTCAGCGCGGGGAGCCCTGCGGTGCGGCAGGGGGGTCCCACTCCTTCCCCCCTCCCCAGCACCCCCATACCTGGTGGTGGAGTCGGTGTTGGGTTTCTGGTGGCAGCAGGAGAGTATCCAGGACCCTGACAGCAGAACAGCACAAAGTGACCTCCAGAATCCTCCCTTTGTTATCACCACTCTGGCGGGGGTCAGTGGGGTGAAGGATGGGACCCCAGCCCTCTCCCAGCTCCCCAGGGCCACTTTTGCCCGCGTCCCACTCACCTTGGCTCTCCCTCATGGTGCAGCCACCGGTGGCAGGGTGGCAACGGCCCTGGCCTGCTCCCTGCCCAGGTGTAAACTCAGCAGGGCCTTTTCTGATGCCTGCTGATGCAATTATGAGGTCGGAGGCAGCGGGCATGGGACCCCCTGAGTGCAGAGAGATGGCACAGACGTGCACGAGGGCCACGAAACAGATTTATTGCCTCGTGCTGGAGACAGCCCTGGGTGGGACCTGGCACTTAGGGATGTGGTTTAGTGGGTAACATTGGCAGCAGATGATCTCAGCGGTTTCTCCAACCTTAATGAATCTGTGATTCCTCCCCAAGAAAGCCACGTGGGCGCTGTCAGATTTGTGTGCCAGAGGGCGACCTGCGGCGCGGCGGGGGCTCCTCGAGGCACTGCGGCAGATTTCACACAGACGAGCGTGTGGGGAAAGGCAGGAGGCAAACTTTTATTTTCGTAAAAGCAGAAATCTGGGGGAAGTCTACAGGGCCAGGGGTGGCCTGGGGTGGGCCTCAGATGCATGTGCGGAAGCGCAGGTCAGTGCCCGCCATCCTCTGTGCGTAGAGCTGGTCGAAGCGCGCGCTCTGGGCCACGGTGAAGTGGTTCTTCCAGTCACCAGTGATACCTGGGGGGCAAGAGGGGGCTGAGCAGGGCCCAGAGGGCCGGCGGCATGCTGGGGGGTCCCCAGAGCCCGCTCACCTTTGCGCATGAAGGGGGAGATGCCCTGGTCCATGAGGTTGGAGGGCACCACCCGGTAGTTGGTGCTGAAGTTGTCCCGCATGGCCTCGAAGGACGTGTGCTGGGCGACCGCCTCCAGTGCCACCTCCGACAGCTCCTTCCCCAGGAACTGGGCCACCTTGGTGATCTCCCGGCGGGGGTCCTGGGCGCAGAGGCTGGCATTCAGCCCCGGCGCCCCCAAGCCCTTATCCCCACCGTCAGCACCATCCCCTCACCTCCTTCATGTCCTCGTAGAAGAGGTAGAGGATGGGGTGCTCCCTCCGGCGCTCCCAGTAGCCCCTCACGTGGTCGAACCAGGAGCCGTAGGCCACTGCACGGGGAGAGTGGCCATGGGGATCGGCAGGTCACGGCACCCTCAGGGTCCTCACGTGCACCCATGGGTGTCCCAGCCCACCTCTGCCTGCCATGAACTTCTCCAGGTACTGGTCCCACGTCCCCGGGTGAGGGTGCAGGTTGTTCATCAGGTCAAAGTGGTAGTAGGAGACGGCCACATCCTTGGCGTTACGCCCCACGTAGATCATCTGTGGAGAGGCCCGTGTCGGTGATGTGTGCTGATTTGCAGGGTTCTGGTGGGGGTAGTCATACCCATATCCCTTCTGGATCCCTCCTGGCACGTTCCCTCCAGCCCTATTACCTTGCAGCCCTTCTCCCAGAAGGATTTGGGTAAGATATCAGCCGGGATGTGGGTCTTGATAATGCGAGGGGATGGCATGCCCTCCAGCTGCTCCGTGCCTACAAAAAGCGCTTCCGCTACCAGCAGGGTGCACCCCAAAAGCCCAGTCTGCCCCATCCTTGTTGGCCAGGCTGGCCCCCGAGCCTTGGGGCACCCACTGCCCACCCACCCCGCTACCTGCCAGCATCTGCCCGGGGGCAGCAAACTCCAGCATGGGCACCCGGTTGACGATGACGTCCCGCTTGCATTTTTCGGGGTCGCCGCCTTGCAGGATCATGTCCACGATCTCGCTGACCCAGGTGGTGCCTGGTGAGGAGCAGCCCAGTGTCCCGCTGCTGCTGTCCCCTCCTGAACCCAATCGCAGGCACCGCAGCACCGTCTGGCCACCCCCCAAATTCCAGCTCGGGTAGTCGTGGGTTAGTGCCCCCCACTTCCCGCACATGGCCCCTCTCTCCTGTGCCGGGGCCGCTCACCGGATTTGGGGAAGGTGACCACCACGATGTCTTCAGGGCGGCTCTGGAACTTGTCCACCTGCTCCCAGTTCTGGGTGAAGGCGTAGACCATAGGGATGCCGTGCACCGTGCCCCAGGGCTGGCGTATGTAGGTGTCCATCGTGGCCATCCTGGTGGGGACAGGGGGGTACACAGAGGGCCAGCTGGTGGGGTTGTCTTCATAGGGCCACCTTCATGGGGCCACAGCCAGCCCTAGGGAGCCGGGGAGCTCCCAGAGCTGCTGCTGGGACCCAGCACTGGGTCTTGGGGTGCTTGCCCAGACACCCCTGGCGTTTCAGAGCCTGCTCTGTGGGGTGCCGGGAGGGGAAAAAGTCTGTCCTGCCTGGTGCCAGCTTGGGCTCTTGGGGCGGCAGGAGGGAGCTTCGAGGAAAACAAGGTGCTGCCAAAGGGCAAAGGGCAAATCCTTTCTCTTGGTGCTACTGGGGCGGTGGCGGGACTCACTGACACAGCTGGCAAAGCAAAGCCCTGTGCCCATTCCCAGACCCCTTGGGCTTTTGTGGAGGATCCCAGCCTCGTTCTTCAGAGCCAGCGGGGACCACCGACCCGCGCCCCTGTGCCGAGCTGCCGTAGCGGGGATCAACCAGCAGCCATCTCACCCCCGTGCCCTGCAGCTGGTGAAGAAACCAGCCCCCCCTGGACCCCCCCAGTATCCAGGCCTTGCCTTTCGGAGGCTGGCGGGGGGCTCCCCGTTACCTGCTGCTGGGCGCCGTGGGGAGTGGGGAGCACCGTGCCCGTGCCCGCAGACAGCGGGGTGTTTATTTTTCCCCTCCCCGCGTGGAAGATGGAGGCGCGGGGAGGTGCCTGGGGATGGGGACGTCACCGGGGGTGGGAGAGGGTGCTCCAGGGTGGGGAGGAGGAACAAGGGGGGCAAGGCGAGTGCCTGTGATGAGCGGTGCTGTGCTCAGCACCCCCTCCCAGGCAGGGGTGGGCTGGGGGTGTCACCTGCATGCAGCTCGCTGGTGGGACGCAGGGCTCAGGCTCGGGACCCCGAAGGCGGGTCCAAAGTCTGCAGGGTTGCAAAAGAGCAGCGCCTGCTGCAGCCAGCATGCTGCTGGGAAAAGGGTTTAAGGGAGACGTGCTGGGGGGAGTGCGGGTCTTTTGGGGAAAGGGCCACCCTTCGGCAAAGCCAGGAGCTGGGGGTGCATGAGGATGCCCCTCTGCGCTAAAATAAACGTGTTGGAAGGGTTTGATCTTTAGCTGCACCGATAGCACTGCTACTTGCAGATAAATCCAGTTTGCATCTCTCTGGGACAAACCAGCCCCAGGGCACTGCCTGTGCACAAACGTCGCTAGTTTGGACGCTCATAAACCAAAGCTGGAAATGGGGCATAACGGGGGGATTTGGGTCCCAGGAGCAAATCCCTGATGCCGGTGGGCCAGGTTGTCCCAGTGGTGCCTGAACAAGAGCCTGGTGCAGCTGTTGGGAGCAGGGACATCCCCCATGTCACCGTGCCAGCGGGGCCAGCACCAGTGCCAGGCAGGAGGTGTTTCCCCTTGCCTTTGCCCTGCAACACCCATGCCGGTGCAACGGTGATGGAAATTTCTGCCTGCTCTGCAAAGCAATCTGCAGCAATTTGGAGCCATAAACATGCCTGGGCACGGAGTCAGCCTCGTGCAGTGAGCACCCTGACTTGCTTTGGGGTTTTTCCACTCCAAGGACGGTCCTTGCTCCTGCTGGAACTGCTCTTTGCTTTCTAGGAGTGAGCCGGGCCAGCTCCATGTGTCTGGGGCTGAAAGTGATGCTTTGGAGTATGGGGTCCCTGCAGCAAGCATCTCCGTGTGCCTGCAGGCGTCTTGAGGCACCAAGAACACGCGTCGGGGGCTGCCCTTGCCCTTCATTGCAGACGTACATGTATGCTCACCCTCTGGCTATTGCAATTTATTATGGGAAGAAAAATGCCCGGCGAGCTCCGGGCTGCAGGAATCCAGTGCTGGCTCCCCATCAGGGCAGGGGGAGCCCTGGGCAGCGCCGGGGGCAGGCAGTGCCCCGGGGGTGGACGCCCCTCACACCTCCATCTGGAAGCAGAGGTCTGAGCCCGCCATGTGCTGCTGGTAGTGCCGGTCAAAGCGCTCGTTCTGTGCCACCGTGAAGTGGTTCTTCCAGTCGCCGGAGATGCCTTTGGGGGTAGGAAGGTGAGAAAGCACGTGGGGCAAAATCTGACCCCCAAAAACATCTGCAGTCTGGGCCTGGGACTCACCCTCCCAGGACCGCCGGCCAAAACCTACCTTTCCGCATGAAGGGGGAGAGGCTGTGGTCCATCAGCGAGGAGGGCATGGTCTCGTAGTTAGCGGCGGGGTTCTTCTTCATCTCCTGGAAGGAGGTGTGGTGGAGGATCCTCGCCACTGTCTCCTCCGACACCTCCTTGCCCAGGAACTGCAAGATCTTCTGCACCTCACGCTGCGGGTCCTGTGGGGTGGCAGGGGCAGGGGTGCTCAGTGCTGGTGCTCCCCCTACAAATAGGGGGGATGGGGGGGGGAGCAGCCAGGGCAGGTGCAGGCAACCCTCTCTCCAGCCCACCTCACCTTCTTCATGTCCTCGTAGAAGAGGTAGAGGAGCTGTTTCTCCTGCCTCTTCTCCCACCAGCCCCTCACATGCTCATACCAGGACCCGTAGGCCACTGTGGGATGGGGGTTGGGTTAGCCGAAAAGCAGCAAGGAGGAGGATGCCCTCCCCAGCAGCATTTTGGTGCGAGCCCAAGCATGCAGCCCCCACCTTTTCCATTCATGAAGGCCTCCAGGAATTCAGCCAGCGTGCCAGGGTCCGGGTGAATTTTGGCCATCTGGTAGAAGTAGTAGTAGGAGATAACGACGTCCTTGGCGTTGCGGGCCATGTAGATTACCTGGGGACAACCGAGGCTGTGGTTGAGGGAAGAGGAACTGTGCCTCCTCCCTACTGCCCCGCTGGGGAGAGAGGTGAGGGGCAGCCCCACAGCATTACCTTGCAGCCCTTCTCCTGGAAGGAGGCCGGGAGGAGCTGGACCGGCAGGTGGGTCTTCACCAGCCGTGGGGATGGGGTTTTCTCCAGCAGCTCGATGCCTGCAGGAGGGGAGCTCAGTGGGATGTGCCCCCTGCTCTGACATCCCCACCCATGCCCCAGATCGACCCCTTCCCCCAACAGCCCTCGGCTACTCACCGCTTGGTATCTTGGGGGCATTCATCTCCAGGAAGGGCACCCGGTTGAAGATGGCATCCCGCCGGCACTTCTCCACGTCGCCGTCATGGTAGATCATGTCCAGGATCTCGCTCAGCCACGTCGTGCCTGTGGCACAGGGCAGTGTCTCAGGGGCTGGAGGTGCCCCGGCAGCATCCCAAAGCCCCCTAGGTCCACTCACCCGACTTGGGGTAGGTGGCGATCAGCAGGTCGTCATGCCGGGCTTGGAAAGCCTCCACCTGCGGCCAGCCCTCTATGAAGGACTTGTACAAAGGGATGCCGTGGAGGCTTCCCAGCTCCTCCCTGCACACCTCGTCTACCCCCATCGCTGGCAGCGTGTCCCCACGGCACAGACGCTCTTCTGTGTCTGCGCTCAGGGGAGGGCAAAGTCCACCCTGAATCACGTGCAGCCCCCCCGGGGCGGTGAGGTTTTCCTCGCCCGGCCCCCAGCTCGGCTTCCTTCCGCTGTAAAAGTATGGGTGGCACAGACTGCAGGCGCTGGGGATGTTTGGAGAGAGACGGGCTCGAGCCAGGAGAGGAAACGCCTGTTTGCTGGACTGCAACTCACAGCCTTGTTTTTTGGCTCCTTCTGTCCGCTGACAGCTCAATGGTGAGGCATGGCTTGGCTGGGGAGGGGAAGGAGGAAACTGGAGGCTGGTGGGTGACTCCGTGGGGCGCAGGGTGGTGGGATTTGGGAGCTGGGCACCAGCTCCAGCTGTGGAGATGCATTGGAGAAGACCCAGCCTCACCGCCCAGTGCTGCTTCAGCCTCGGCTCTAGCTGCTGGGGAGCCCCAGCCCCCGACATCGCTGCAGTCCCAAGGAGATGCAGCCAGTGAATGTTAAAGGCAGTCGTTTTAATATAAACCATGACAGCTGCACACAGAGTGAATACTGACTAGCTGGTTTGTATTTATTGATTTATTAGTTAGTACCGATTCGGTTATGCTATGTCTGGAATAGAGAGTGGAGCCTCGGAAGCGTTGTTTTGCCCGGAGGCTGTCTCAAATACTGAATTCAGCACGGTGCACGTCACCGTCCTCCATTTTGGGGATGATTAAAGCTGCACCAGTCCCGGTCCCCCAGCCACTGTGCTATCTGGATCTTTTGTCAGGCGATCACTCAGCTCTCTCTCCATGCTCCAGGACGTCTACGTGCTCCGGAACGTCTCCCGCCTGTTCCAGAACCTCTTCTGCATTCTCCCCAATGTCTTCTCCATCTTCCGGCACATCTCCTACATGCTCTCAGACGTCTTCTGCGTGCTCCTGGACATCTTCCACGTGCTACAGAACGTCCTCTACACACTCTGGGGCATCTTCCGCGTGGTCTGGGACATCCTCTGCATATTTTGGGATGTCCTCTGCGTGCTCTGGGTCGTCATCTGTAAATTGCAGCAGCCTGAAGATGTGTCCCCTGGCCATGCCCTCCTGGGAAGGCAGCCACCCCAGTGGGAGTGAAGTGGAAGCTCCAGTGATAGTATCATGGAACGGCCTGGGTTGGAAAGGACCTCAAAGATCATCTCATGTCAACCCCCCTACCAAAGGTTGGACAGTAGGTGATGGACAATCAAAATGTAGATTGCTTCATGCTTGAGGCTGAAACCTTTTGATATGATGCCATTTTGTTACATGGGAAGAAATGAACGTTCAGGAGAGAATGTTTCCTTCCCTTACTCTCTCTCCTCCACTTTCTTTTGTGCTCTCACTTTGTCCTTCAGAACCTCATTTATCATGTTTCTGGTCTTACCTAGAGAGACTTCTTAGAATAGTTCTTTCCTGGCAAACGTTTTCATGAGGGCCTTCTTAAAAATGAAAGCTCCTTTGTCACAGCGTTTGCTTGTCTGATGGCAACATAGCATGAAAACATGGCAACATACATGAAAGCTCTAGAGCAGAAGAACCAAAATGTTAAGGGTCAAAAAGCCCTGCAGGGCAGGGAGGATATTTTGAGTGTTTTTTTTTTCCCAGACTGGAATGGATGTCAGACTCACAACTCCTTCCTTGGCAAGGGCAAAACCTGTCAGGATGCGTAAAGGAAAGATACTGTGTAGTAAAGAAGCAGGTTTTGCTTTCACTGGTGCTGCTTCGAAGATCAAAGACCTCAGGGTTTTTCCTTCTCCACCCTGTCCTCGCCCACCTGCCGGTTTATGGCTGGTTTTTGTTTCGTTTCTCGTGAGAGGGTGTGGCAAGCAGTGCTCACAACCAGCTGAGATACTGTCTTGAGGCACGCGAGACATCACAATCTGGGCAGCTCTGGCACCACTCCCTACACAGGAAATACTTTGGAAGAGTTTCTGGCTTTCTGAACAATAGAGATGGTTCAGGGCTCTTTGGATCTCGAGGTTGCCCTGCCCTCTTCCCCCTGAGCCAGCACTGGGAGCTAGGAGCTGTGTCCCCCCCCAGGCTGGGGGAGCAGGGCTCAGGCTGGTGTGCACCACCTAGGGATGGCTGCAGGCTGGCAGCTCCTCTTGCTTTCCTGCAGCATCCAATGCTGGGGACCTCTGGAGGCAGGAAGGAAAAAGAAACCACTTATCACAAAAAACAGTGACAAGGGCTAGTGCTCTCTCCTCAGCATCACAACTTTTTAATGGGCTCTTTCTCTGATGTGCTATGCAACACTGGGTGAAGCCAGGGATAGAAGAGTGGAGGCTTGTTAATCACTTTAAAAGTAGATGTTGCTGAATGTCTTTGCTTACTACTGTGCAAATTAACCAAAAGAGGGAGTCTTGGGGCCCCTCACAGTGGATGTTTCCTGACAAAAATGAGGAACCCGTCTCAAAAGCCAGCTGAGACTGACCTTGTGGTTTGGACAAAAGCCAAGGAGCAGCTGAGTCTGTACAAAGGCAGGAGGTCAGCCAGTGGTGATGAAGAAGAGTTATCAGCCTTCATCCCCACGACCCCCCCAGCAACCACCACCAGAAGGCACTGCGCAAGCGC